TAGACTTAGACTGAGCATAGAAAAGCAAGAAGGGAAGAGGAAGTATAAGAGTGATGGAGGGGTGATGGTGGGTGAGTTTGTGTGTGTGTGTATATGTATGTGCATGCACAGGTGAGTGAATGAGAATGTGAGTGAGTGAGTGAGTGAGTGAGTGCGTGCGTGCGTGCGTGCGTGCGTGGGTGGGTGGGTGAGTGAGTGAGTGAGTGAGTGGGTGAGTGGGTGAGTGGGTGAGTGGGTGAGTGGGTGAGTGGGTGAGTGGGTGGGTGGGTGGGTGAGTGAGTGAGTGAGTGAGTGGGTGGGTGGCAAAAGAGGCGGAGCCCGAGGGACGCCAGGGCGTACATCCGACCCCTTGGCAGTGCACATTGTCCCACGCCTGCCACGCAAAAGGGGCGGAGCCCGAGGGACGCCAGGGCGTACATCCGACCCCTTGGCAGTGCACATTGTCCCACGCCTGCCACGCAAAAGAGGCGGAGCCCAAGGGACGCCAGGGCGTACATCCGACCTCTTGGCAGTGCACATTGTCCCACGCCTGCCACGCAAAAGAGGCGGAGCCCAAGGGACGCCAGGGCGTACATCCGACCCCTTGGCAGTGCACATTGTCCCACGCCTGCCACGCAAAAGAGGCGGAGCCCAAGGGACGCCAGGGCGTACATCCGACCCCTTGGTAGTGCACATTGTTCCACGCCTCCCACGCAAAAGAGGCGGAGCCCAAGGACGCCAGGGCGTACATCCGACCCCTTGGCAGTGCACATTGTCCCACGCCTGCCACGCAAAAGAGGCGGAGCCCAAGGGACACCAGGGCGTACATCCGACCCCTTGGCAGTGCACATTGTCCCACGCCTGCCACGCAAAAGAGGCGGAGCCCAAGGGACGCCAGGGCGTACATCCGACCCCTTGGCAATGCACATTGTCCCACGCCTGCCACGCAAAAGAGGCGGAGCCCAAGGGACGCCAGGGCGTACATCCGACCCCTTGGCAGTGCACATTGTCCCACGCCTGCCACGCAAAAGAGGCGAAGCCCAAGGGACGCCAGGGCGTACATCCGACCCCTTGGCAGTGCACATTGTCCCACGCCTGCCACGCAAAAGAGGCGGAGCCCCTGCCACGCAGGGACGCCAGGGCCCCTTGGCAATGCACATTGTCCCACGCCTGCCACGCAAAAGAGGCGGAGCCCAAGGGACGCCAGGGCGTACATCCGACCCCTTGGCAATGCACATTGTCCCACGCCTGCCACGCAAAAGAGGCGGAGCCCAAGGGACGCCAGGGCGTACATCCGACCCCTTGGCAGTGCACATTGTCCCACGCCTGCCACGCAGGCGTGAGTGAGTGAGTGGGTGGGTGAGTGAGTGGGTAAGTGAGTGAGTGGGTGAGTGAGTGAGTGCGTGGGTGGGTGAGCGAGCGAGTGGGTGAGTGAGCGGGGGAGTGAGTGAGTGAGTGTGAGTGTGAGTGTGAGTGTGAATGTGAGAGTGAGAGTGAGAGTGAGAGTGAGAGTGAGAGTGAGAGTGAGAGTGAGAGTGTGAGTGTGAGTGTGAGTGTGAGTGTGAGTGAGAGTGTGAGTGTGACAGTGAGTGTGAGTGTGAGTGTGAGTGTGAGTGTGTGAGTGTGTGAGTGTGTGAGAGTGTGAGAGTGTGAGAGTGTGAGAGTGTGAGAGTGTGAGAGTGTGAGTGTGAGAGTGTGAGAGTGTGAGAGTGTGAGAGTGTGAGAGTGTGAGAGTGTGAGAGTGTGAGAGTGAGAGAGTGTGAGAGTGAGTGAGAGTGAGAGTGAGAGTGAGAGTGAGAGTGAGTGAGAGAGGAGGACGGGAGGCGGAGGAGGAAGGCGGATACAGAACTAAAAACAAAAACCCCACACGTCAATGTGAGGAAAAAAACAAACAAACCAATAGATGTACCAAACCCGCACAGGCACCAAAAAAACAAAAAAAACAAACCACTAGATGCACCAAACCTGCACAGGCACCAAAAAAAACAAAAAAACTAAAATTTCCAGGAACTATGGGTCCACTTCTGAGTAGTTGCTGGAATGCTTGGTTTTTTTGTTTTTTTTGGTGCCTGTCGATGTTTGGTTTGTTTTGTTGTTTTTTTTGGTGCCTGTCAATGTTTTGTGAAGTCAAAGTCACCAAACCCGCACAGGCACCAAAAAAAAAAAACAAACCACTAGATGCACCAAACCTGCACAGGCACCAAAAAAAACAAAAAACTAAAATTTCCAGGAACTATGGGTCCACTTCTGAGTAGTTGCTGGATTTTTTGTTTTTTTTTGTTTTTTTTGGTGCCTGTCGATGTTTGGTGCATCTAGTGGTTTGGTTTTTTTTTTGGTGCCTGTCAATGTTTTGTGAAGTCAGAGTCACCAAACCTGCACAGGCACCAAAAAAACAAAAAAAACAAACCACTAGATGCACCAAACCTGCACAGGCACCAAAAAAAACAAAAAAATAAAATTTCCAGGAACTATGGGTCCACTTCTGAGTAGTTGCTGGATTTTTTGTTTTTTTTTGTGTTTTTGGTGCCCGTCGGTGTTTGCTGCATCTAGTGGTTTGGTTTCTTTTGTTTTTTTGGTGCCTGTCAACGTTTTGTGAAGTCAGAGTCACCAAACCTGCACAGGCACCAAAAAAAACAAAAAAACAAACCACTAGATGCACCAAACCTGCACAGGCACCAAAAAAACCCAAAAAAAAATAAAATGTCCAGGAACTATGGGTCCACTTCTGAGTAGTTGCTGGAATGCTTGGTTTTTTTGATTTTTTTGGCGCCTGTCGATGTTTGGTGCATCTAGTGGTTTGGTTTTTTTTTTGGTGCCTGTCAATGTTTTGTGAAGTCAGAGTCACCAAACCTGCACAGGCACCAAAAAAACAAAACAAACCACTAGATGCACCAAACCTGCACAGGCACCAAAAAAAACAAAAAAACTAAAATTTCCGGGAACTATGGGTCCACTTCTGAGTAGTTGCTGGAATTTTTGTTTTTTTGTTTTTTTGGTGCCTGTCGATGTTTGGTGCATCTAGTGGTTTGTTTTTTTTTTGGTGCGTGTCAATGTTTTTGTATATCTCATGTCAAGATCATGATGAAAAAAATATGTTTTACTAGGGTTTTAGACCCTCCAAATGCATAAGACATCGGTATTTACAGTGATTTATCATCATTATTAATGAAAATTCACTCCCCCACGGGGTGCCGGCCTCTTGATTAATTAGGTCCAGGCAAAAAAGTGTTTAATCCAAGCGGATCACCTGTTTTTAAATAACATTTTTTTGGGGGGCAGTTGAGGTTGTTTAATCCGGCGGGTATGATTAATTCTAACTTGACTTTATATGAGATTAGCATGATTAAAAGAAGTGTCCAGATGTGTTCAAGTGTCCTTAAATTGCAAAGATAAGAAAATGATAGAACATGTAAACGTTGAATGCTGAAAAATTGAAAAAGATAGTCGTAGCAACTCAAACGCACAGTGAAATCTTGGGTTTGGTGTTGAAGATGGACCTAACTGACACCAGGGCTGCTATAGTTTTGGGACCTATAGTTTTGCGACCTGTGTTCATGAGTCAGCTGACCTTACAAAAGCGTGATGCATGTGTGCTGCTGGGTTCAAGCATAGGTCCCCGCAACGTTTACCCCTATTACTGGAAGTTTGTACACAAATATGCCCCCGCTCACTCCTTCAGTAGATTAACACAGATATGCAAACCCCTTGGTTTCCCAAAAAGAAATGATGTACACATGGTGGGTTTTCCAGCATGATGCATGCTGATGCTGAGGTTACTGGTGATCATTGCATCATTCCAGACGCGCCGCTGGTGGTGTTTCGCCCTGTGCAGAGTCGTTTTGTTTGCTTTCGATAATTTCCCCAAGGCTGAATCCCTTTGATGGGGACTTTGATGGGTCGCAAAAGGGACCCTTTGAGTAGTTCACCAACATATGTTTTGGCATGTTTTTCTTTTTTTTGGGGTGTTGGCAACAACAAGACCTCTACCTACCTCTGATGGTGGGTTCCATCCAAAGATTTCAATGGGTTTGTCAATGGAGTTGTCCCCAGTTCCACTGGAGTTATATAATCAACCATTTCCTCCCCATTTAAAATTGCTTTAAAAAATCTGGTATCCCGCCCCATTTTCAGACACACCGAATTTTGAAGAAAAATGCCGTTCCAGCACACATATCCGTGTCCTAACTTCCGTAAGGTGATGACAACAGAGATCCTACGAAACAAGCTGCAGCCTGCCACGAAACCAGCGGCATTGGCACGGTGCAACAAAAATGGGGAAAGAACCACCGACGAAAATGGCAATATTTATGGGAACATGAGGCTTTAAGCTATAGAATTTATATAGGGTTGTCCTGTTGGAAACTTGAAACACCTTGAAACAACATGGAGTGGAAAAGAGATGTCATTTTTGCTTGAGTAGAGATATTCGTATATTATATATATATATTTCTGAAAGGCACGGAAGTTTGACAAGGGGCAGATTCCAGGCGACTTGCTTCAGCCAGATTCAGCTCCCCAAGGGATTTTCAATGATGCTGCCTTGGGTTGTATGCATGGTTTAAGATTGTTTGGCAAGTTTCGGCTTCAAATTCGGAAACAAACATGAGAAAACAACAACACCGATTAGAGAGAAAAAACAACAACAAGCGGTAACAAGAGCAAAACAAAAGGTAAGAATAATTGTTCTTTGTGGTCTTTGTGTTTGTTTTTGTTGCAGGTGTTTATTGCTTTCACAAAACATTAAGAATGAAGAACACTTTGGAGAAAAAAAACTAAAAAGGAACCATTTATTGCAAGTTTTTGTTGTTTCATTTTATGTTTGACCCATGGCGCATCGCCGAGGTATCCTGGGAAGGCCCCAGTCTTTACAGAGCCAGAGCTGCCACTGATGGTGGTCCTTGATGAGCCACTGGACAGCAAATCAGCAAACTGATTGTTTTTGTGCTATGGAAATCAGGAAACCCGAGCTTTCTGGTGTTGTTTTGGTCTTTTTGTCTTCTTTTCTGGGTTTCTACGCGGGGAAAAGGTGTAATTCCTTTGAGGATGGTTTACCCGTTTACGAAAAGCCATGTGGGACCCGCTCTACTTGACATCTTGTTCACATCCCATTTAGATCAGATCCATTTGGGAGAATATCCATTTTAGATCGAAATATCATTGAATTATGGTAAGCCCGACTAACATCCGACAACCCATTTTAAAAGGTAGCGAAGTAAGTATAAGTTGCCACTATTTTTAGATGTTTCACTGTTCCGTCCTTTCGGTTGGAAGGATCGGGGAAGACCATGAAGCCTTGCGATCCAGGCTTCATTGGATTAGCGATCCATCCCGTGGCAGAGCGTGGGAGGACGGCTTGCCGTTTGGTCGGGTGGTGGGCTTTCTGGTGTTGTGCAGACGCGAGATTTGGCTAGGGATGGCTGGATATGGTTGGCTTTTTCACCTTAAGTATATGCATGTATAGCACAATATGCTTCATGTCGCCATGTGGCTACCCTGAGTCTCCAAAAATAGTAAATTTACTATTTGTTCAATTTACGTAAATCAAAACAAATAGGTTAAAAAAAGTTTAAAAAGTCAAGATCAGTTTATTGATTTAGGTATATACCTACATTAATTTAGGTTTATACCTAATGTTTCTTCATTTTTCTAAAGCTTGTTTTTTTGGTAATTATATATGTTTTTTTAAGCATACAGAGTTAGTTATAGTTAGCATTGGAAAATATCATGTTTGAGATGGAATCGATGCATTATATAGGTTTACGATTTGTTCTTTTTTGGAAAAGCTTGGGGTGTAAATACACCATGCCCAAGGAACTTGTACTCATTGAAGATGGTTTTAAGCAAAAGAACTTCAAGACAATGCTCAAGTATGAGGGCTTAAGTAAGAAGACTCAAGTAAATGGTTTCAAGTGAAATTACTGAATTGGTGCATTTTCTTGCCATCACCATCTAGTGTATTGAAAACCTGGCTGTTTACTTGTGGACCATGTCTTACCTGAGTGTTACTTGGGATCCTGGCTGATTACATATTGGAATGGTGTTTTTGCTTATTGTACCGAGTCAGGTCTGGTACAATAAGCAAAACACCAATGTCCCCCGAAAAATATATGGAGCTGGTGCTTTTGTATAAGAATAGTATCGGGGCAGGTGCGTAAGCAAAAACACCATTTCGGTGATTTTCTGCAAAAAACAAAGATGGACATTGTGTTTTTGCTTATTGTGCCGGGTCAGGTTTGGCACAATAATATCAAAACATGTCTTACTTGAGGGAATTGGAGATATTGCACTGTTTCTGTTTTCTACATATGTCCTTGAGAAAATGGAAGACCTTTGCAGATTACTTTTTATTACTTGAGGATTTGCCAGACCAATTGTCTTACTTGTGCTACCCGCTAACCGTATCTACTGAACATGGAAGGTACTTCACTGATTTCCTTGATATACACTACGTAAGTTAAAAAAGTATATTAGGTTTTGATGTTTCTGTGATATTGGTGTTATTTAAAATGAAAGTACACTGGTTTTGGGTGGTTTTGATGTTGTTCTCTGCTATTTTGCGTTGATTTTGGTCAAATCCTCGTGCACTTTTTATGTGAATTTTATGCACTCTTTCTACGTTTTTAAAAAGCACATAAAAAGTGCACAAAAAGTGCATAAATTGTGCATAAAAACTGCATACAAGTGCATAAAAATTGCATAGGGAAACCAATGAAGATTTGATGTTCAAAAAACACATAGAAAATAACAGCAATAAAACATCTAGTACAGCCATGCTCCAAGTCAAAGGAAGGCCAAGACCTTCTACAAAGGTTTCAATGCCCACAAGGCCAAAATGGCGACCAACTAGGACCAACTAGAAAAGAAAACATGACTCACACATGAATTACTTGAGTCAATATTGACATGCAGATTCTACCCATGGAAAAGATCCACAGTCTGCAACTTACACTTGGACATGCTCAAGTAAATACAATGAGACACAGAAACATCACACAAGTAACAGAAACATCTCTCAAGTAAAGCACTTGTCGCAAGTAAAAAATATCAAAGAACAAATTCAAGTAAACACAAAACAGTACCCTCATATAAGGAATCGAAAACCAAATCCAAGATGCACAAGTAAACACACAATTGACATGCCCAAGTGCAAAAAGCTCAAGTAACAGACACAGGTCCCAAAAATAACCAGCAAATAACCACACAAAACTAACATGCCCAAGTACAAAAAGCTCATGTAACATACCAAAAAAACAGCAAACAGAAAACAAACATCATTAGAAAAATATCATCAAAACACAACCATCACCACAATCACAACAAATAAAACATGGAAAACAGTATTGCAATTGAACAATGCCAACAAGACCACCATTCAAAATGTTAAGAAAACCAAGAGCAAAAACTTCAAAAAAACACAAAAAATAATCAAAAAGTATTAGATAGTATTAGTATGTTTGTTGAGTCCGTCCTAATAGCTGTAACAATCAAAAAAAGGATTTCTTTATATGTTGGGCGAAGGTTGTTTTGAGCGTTTTCTTTCGTGCACAAAATCGTGCTTTTCGGTGCTTTCCCTCGTGCAAAAAATCGCGCTCTAGATCGTGCTTTTTGGTGCTCTCCCTCGTGCCAAAAACCGTGCTCTAGATCGTACTTTTTGGTGCTCTCCCTCGTGCCAGAAACCGTTCTCTAGATCGTGCTTTTTGGTGCTCTCCCTCATGCCACAAATCATGCTTTTTGGTGCTTTCCCTCGTGCCCAAAATCGTGCTCTAGATGGTGCTTTTTGGTGCTCTCCTTCGTGCCAAAAATCGTGCTCTAGATCGTGCTCGCTATTACAGCTATTAGGTTTGTGTCAATATATTTGTATGAAAAATATGACGAAAAATAGATATATACCTAAATAAATTTGGATATACGGTATATACATATTTTTCAATAGTAAATACCTACTAAGTAAAAACAGTTTTTCCCGACCTGAATTTTTAAAAAAAAAAACGTAAATTTTGGCCAACCTAAATTTTACAATTTTAGGAGACTACTCAGGGTATGGATCCAAATCGAAGGCCCAGAGTACCACAGATGATATGATCATTGCGTGTTGCGACCTGTTCTGTTTGATGTTTAAAACAAAACATGCGGATGGATTGCGGGCGTGATGTGAAACCTTTTTTTAAGATAATGTGCGCAAACTGATACCAAGTGGTTGCACAGGAAAGCATGCATTGCACAGTTGCAAAAAGGCGCGAGGAAAAGAAAAATGAAATTGAAACAACAATCTACTTAAGGACTGGTGAAATGATCTGAAATGTCCTGCTACGAAATCATTGAAGTATTGGATACTTCCATGATTTTTTTCATGGTCACAGCATGAATATCCGCAAAATTGGGAACGAAAGGAGATCATCATCAACAGCCCGGAATGGATGCAATTTCTGGGACTTTCTGGATCCGTGGGTGGAGATCCGCAGAAGTTTTGCTGCTTGACCTGCTTGACAGGGAAGAGGAAAAGGCAAAACACAATGTCTAGCCAGTTTCGTTGAATATGTTGGGCACAAGGGTAGAGATATGTATAGACATATACATTATTTATGGATTATCATGGGCGAAGGATTGACCACCACAGTTTTTGCTGGTCAGCTCAGCTCTGATGACTGAAAAGGACTGTCAGGGAATTAGTGCAATGGGGCATGCATCAAACAATATTTGTCATTTTTTTTGGTGCTTGAAGTTTCAACCCACCATTCCAACGTAGTTCAGTTTTGTTCGTGTCAAGACTGGCTTCGGCTTGATGACTTATTTTGGATCCATTGGTGATGCTTGGTGGATGGATGTGTGGTCTAAGGTCAACCATGCTTAATCATGTTTACATGAGGCCCCCTGCGGAGCTTGGAATGGGTTGAGACTTCACACCAGGTTAAAGCCCCTCAGACAGGGCACTGCCCAGGTGATTGGATGAGTTCCATCCGATGCAGAGCGTGCAGTCTGGTTCGCTCGCAGTTCAGGTGCCGAGGGGTGTGGAGGCCCCACAGCCAAGAAGCTGGTTTTCATTGGGGAAAACGGGAAACTGCCAACTGATCCTTGACAGGAAGTGATATCAAATTGACGGATACGCAAGGATACAGTAGTGCGGTTTTTGATACATGTATATATATATATATATGGACATGTTTACGTGGGCTGTTTGATGATTTATTTTAGGATTTGTCATGATCCATTAATGATCGCTCTCTCGCTCTCTCGATACGTCTATACTCTCGATACTTCTATAATTTATGTTTTCAAGATCCGGAGGCCGGAGAGCTATACAGTATCTACTGTATTTAAATGTCCTTGGATGTGTCTACACAATCATTGAAAATGAACATTTGGCTCAAGCACTCTGGCCCAGTTATGTAAAGCGGTGCGAAACTCACGGGCCGTTGGCGAGCAGTTCAGATGTCCTGCTTTGCTGCATTGGTTTCCTCTCCCTCACCCACCGGCTACCAAGATCGCGGCAAGGGCCGCGGACGTGTCTATGATAACATCACCGAAACAGTGGGGAACACTCCGTGTGTGAAGATTTCGGATGCCATTTGCCCAAAGGGTCGCACCATCTATGCCAAGTTGGAGTATTTCAACCCTTTGTCCAGCGTGAAGGATCGCTTGGCCTGCGCCATCATCGAGGATGCTGAGAAGACTGGCAAGTTGAAGCCGGGAGACACCGTGATCGAGGCCACCAGCGGCAACACCGGCATCGCTGTGGCCATGCTGTGCGCGCAGAGGGGCTACAAATGTGTCATCACCATGGCTGAGCCCTTCTCCATCGAGCGCCGCAAGCTCATGCGATTTATGGGCGCAAAGGTGATCATCACCCCAAAGGCCAGCAAAGGCAGCGGAATGGTGGCAAAAGCCAAGGAGTTGGCTGAGAAGCATGGCTGGTTTTTGTGCCGCCAGTTCGAGAACGAAGCCAACGCGAAGTGTCACTTCGACACAACTGGCCAGGAGATCTTGAACGACTTTAAGGGCATGAAGTTGGATTATTACGTCCTGGGCTACGGCACGGGTGGCACCTTTGCCGGTTCTGGGCAGGCGTTGAAGGAGAAACGTCCTGGCATCAAGATTTGCCTGTGCGAGCCGGCGGACGCTCCATTGGTCCACTCGGGCACCAAGAGTGAACGTGACGATGATGGCAGCGCCACCGGATCCCACCCGGCCTTTAAGCCACACCCCATCCAGGGCTGGACACCGGACTTCATCCCAGTGATTATGGAGGAGGGCATTGCAGCCACTGGCTATGATGAATATGTGCCGATTCCAGGTGATGCTGCCATTCAGATGAGCCAAATGTTAGCCAAGACCCAGGGAATCTTCACTGGCATTTCTGGAGGTGCCTCCATGTATGCCGCAGTTGAGATGGCCAAGAAGGCTCCAGAGGGGTCTGTTTTGGTGGCCTTGTTGGCAGACACCGGTGAGCGATACCTGTCCACTCCCTTGTTTGCATCCATCAGTGCAGACATGAGCGAGGAGGAGCTGGAGATCTCCAAGTCCACTCCAAGCTTCCAGCTCTAAGCCACGTGGTGCCATGAGACTCGTTGAAGCAACGCTGATTGAAGGAACTTTTTGGCAACTCGCAGCGGGTGCCATTTTTTGGCCACAAGGGCCTACAGCTGCGAGGACTTTAGACTATGCAGAAAACAATGCATTTTGTACATACAAATGGTGACAGTGGCCACAAAGGCCTACAGCCGCGATGACTTTAAACTTTAAACTATGCAGAAAACAATGTATACATTTTGTACATAGAAATGGTATTCGCGGCCAGCCAGTAGAATCAATCCAGATCAGACTTTGGCCTCGCAGGCCAGTGCCGCTGCATTTTTACATGATGATGAGGCGCGAATCAGCAACGGGCTGGGCACTAGCTGTTCATGATTTAAGCTGTTTAAGTTGTGATACTGTTCATGTACAATCATGTACATACAGGGAACCCAAGTAATTCTTTTGTTTTAATATATATCAATATATATATAGTAGATATCTTGGTTTTATTCTTTTTTGCATGATTAGGTCACTTGGCTTACAGGCGGTCCTTTTTGCGTGCTTCGCACGCCAGGAGCAGCGGAGAGCCACGGCGACAGAGGTGCTTTCGCCTCTGGTCCGAAAAGGTCTGCACAACTGGGGAAACCTTGCCTGGGCAGTTTAGCAAGTAGAATTGCTTAATTAAGTTTATATAAGTTGTAATTTGATTAATGTCGAATACTGATTAGTGTGGCCCCCCCCTCAACAATTTTAGTCTTCTCAATAACTCGGCATTTTCTGGGCCCCCCCTCGACAATTTTTAGCATAGTCAACTTAAGTAAGGATTTCAATTGAAATCAATTTACTTTCAATTGATTTTCAATTGATGTTAATTTACTTCAATTTATTTCAATTTACTTTCAATTGATGTTCAATTGATTTCAATTGATTTTCAATTTACTTTCAATTTATTTCAATTAATTAATTTCAATTTACTTTCAATTGATTCTCAAATTATTTCAATTGATTTCAATTTCCTCCTTTAAAAAAATGGATCTGAGAAAAAAGATTCTCACAATAGAGGCCCCCCCCACCATTCACAGGATACTGAATTATTTTTGAAAAATTTCTCACGATAGAGTCCCAGGACACTAATCGGTATACAACATTAATTTTTAATTCAATCATGTACATTTTCACGTTTAGTAATATTTATATAATATTTATATAGTTGTTTAATCTTTGGATATCAAGTATCAATCGATTTGTTTTTGCACACCAGCTTGAAGCTTCAAGTGCGACTCTAAGATTGGCCAACCAGGAGGCTGGGTATAATGTGGGCAAATCAATAATCAACCACCCATAGGTTGATGGTGTATACCACCCATTTATAATGATTTAAGGGATGGATTGGGGTTTAAGGTTTGCCACATTATAATCATTCTGTACGCGATTTTCTCTTTGCTTGGGGAGCCCCCAAAATCTTAACCGAGGCGTAGAGCGTTTTGTGTAAAACATCAACGATTGATTCCTGATGTAGCATTTGCGTATGGGATCTCTCATGAGGGTTTGTGAGAATAGGGTGCATCTGGCTTATCATAATTATCCTCATCAAAATGTTACTCTAATTTGGGGGGTATCGAAGGGACGAATGGAAACTGGTATGCCCTATCAGGCCCTATCATGGCTTGGTGCACACAAGATGAGATGGATTTGTTCAAAACGGGGGGACCCTAGTTTACATCAACTTATGGCAATGTTTCACGGTGAATATGCTAAACAGCCCGTTTTGGGATGCGACTCCAACTTGTTGTGGCACCCTAACGTTCCAGGCTGGCAGCCTGGTTCATGTAAGAACCATCGCCAAAACCTGGTTGCCTATGGGACAGGTTACCAGGAAGACTACGGCCATATAGAATCGATATTAATGTTTGCGCGAGGAATCAGTTCTGTTGAGCAGGTCCCAAATTCCAGCCTCAATATGAGCGCATGATGCCACAGGTGGATGAACATGATGAACACGTCAGTCAAGATGTTCCTGAAATTCATCCTAAGCTTCAAGCGACACGTGAACAAGCGGAGCCTGTGCCTGGACACATGAGAGCGCCACAAATGTGCCTGGGTGAACTGCCTGGGTAGGCCATGGTAGCCCAGAATGGGACGGTCTATAGCGACTGACCTACACTTAGAACCTAATTTTCCAAACTTTTGGAGCAAATACTTAGAACCTCCCAAATTTGAGGTTCTAAGTGTTGATTTTCGCCAAAAAAAACAAACACTTAGAACTTGTTTGGTTATGTTTGCTCCAAAATGTAAGTCAGTCACTATATGTGAACAAACACATATCATACATATATATATATACACTTAAACTCTGCCATACTGTATATCAAAATAAATGTCTTTGTAAAAGTTCGCGCTATCAATAAATGTGTGTGTGTGTGTGCATGCATGTATGTATGGATGTGAACAGAGTTTTGAATGAAATATGTGCACAACTTGGGATGCTTCGCTGCAAGATTTATGTGGTCGTATTCCTTGGGGAATCTAACACTTAGAACCCCTGCTGCTGGAATATGAAATCTAGGAAACATCATACATATATATATATACACATATGAATGAATATGTTTATGTATATTGTGTATATATATATATATACATATCTTAGAATATATAAACACATCTTTGCCAAAAAAAGATCAAACTATCGAAAAAAAACATGTATGTGTGGATGTATGTATGGATATATGGATTGAAAAATCACAAACAAACAGAGTTTTGAATGAAAAATGTACACAACTTGGGATGCATCGCTGCAAGATTTATGTGGTCGTATTCCTTGGGGAACCTAACACACCCGGGGTATTTTAACCTATTCTGAAAGTACGGGTTAGGTACGGGTTAAGTACGAGTTCAAAATCAATACCCAAAGTCTTCAATCGAAAACCGAGGTTTTCTTATTTTTCCGAAATACTTCAGGTTCTTGCGTTGACCCGAAGAATTCTTAGGGTTTTGGTTCTCCAGGTATACCGTGTGTTATTTTGATGTTTTCATGAAAGAGTATATATATATATATATCATATACATATCCTTTTGGAACAAAAATCAAACTACCAATAAATGTGCATGTATGTGTGGATGTATGTATGGATGTATGTATGGATATGGACTGAAAAATCACAAATAAACAGAGTTTTGAATGAAATATGTACACAATTTGGGATGCTTCGCTGCAAATTGTATGTGGTCGTATTCCTCGGGGAACCTAACACTTAGAACCTCTGCTTCTAGAATATGAATTCTGGAGAACATCAAAATAACACACAACACGCAGATGTATGTGTATACATGCCTTTGGAAAAAAGTTCAAACTATCAATACATGTGCACGTATGTGGAGATGTATGTATGTATGGATATGTATGGATATATGGATTGAAGAAACATAATCAACAGAGTTTTGAATGAAATATGTACACAACTTGGGATGCTCTGCTTCGCTGCAAGATTTATATGGCCGTATTCCTTGGGGAACCTAACACTTAGAACCTCTGCTTCTTGAATATGAACTCTAGAAAACACACGGCACACACACACATGTAGTTATAAATATATATTTATTTACATCGTATATACATTTCTTTGGAAAAAGGTTCAACATATCAATAAAAAACATGTATGCAAGCATGCATGTATGTATGTATGGATGTATGAATGTATGGAGCATCACAGGTAAACATAGTTTTGAATGAAATATGTACACAACTTCGGATGCTTCGCTGCAAGATTTATGTGGTCGTATTCCTTGGGGAACCTAACACTTAGAACCTCTGCTGCTTGAATATGCTTTCTAGAAAACATAAAAATAACACACGACACACAAATGTATGTATATATATATGCATAATAAATACATATCTTTGGAAAAAGTGCAATCAACCAATAAATGTGCATGTATGCATGCATGTATGTATGTATGGATGCAATGTATCAAAAAATCACAAATAAACATAGTTTTGAATGAAATAAGTACACAACTTGGGATGCTCTGCTTCGCTGCAAGATTTATATGGCCGTATTCCTTGGGGAACCTAACACTTAGAACCTCTGCTTCTTGAATATGAATTCAAAAAACCTCCAAAACACACGACACACATATGCATATATATATGTTATATATACATATCTTTGGAAAAAAAACTAATTTTGAATAAATGTGCATGTATGTGTGGATGTATGTATGGATGTATGTATGGATATGGATTGAACAATCACAAATAAACAGAGTTTTGAATGAAATATGTACACAATTTGGGATGCTTCGCTGCAAATTTTATGCGGTCGTATTCCTTGGGGAACCTAACACTTAGAACCTCTACTTCTTGAATATAAAGTCAAAAAACTACCAAAACACACGACACACACACATGTACGTGTGTATATATTTTTTTATTTATTTATTTATTGCATATATACATGTCTTTGGGGAAAAGTTGAAACTATCTAGAAATGCGCATGTATGCATACACATAAGGAAGTTTCGACATGGCTGCGGAATGCGGCGGGTGCCATCAAATACAACAAAACTTGGAGAAACCTTAGAGACATTTTTAAAAAAGCAAGCCCCAAGATAATTTCACCACAATTTCTTCGATGATTATTATATGAATATGTATAAATATAAATATATATATAGGGTGACCGGCCTACACTCTATAAGCTGGATAGATGTTAAAATTGGGGTAGGTTTTAAATGTTAATGAAAAATAAAATTGGGGTAGGTTCCAAGTGTTAATGAAAAAATGTTTTGGTTCTAAGTGTTGACTTGTTAGGGTTTCTAAGTGTACACTTAGAACCTGGTCGAATTATTGTGCCTCCATTTTTCTATGTTTTCCCAAACTAGGTTCCAAGTGTAAGTTGGTCGCTATACATTGGTTTGCTACTTGTTTTGTAAATAAAAATGGACCAAGATTTGTGGCCCAATGGGTCTTAGATTTTGGCCCATGGCCATCTATATAGATCCAGCAATACAGTTGCCCTAAGCGTCTCTGAGCTATATAACTATATATGTATGGTTCAAAAAGCACCATTTCCATATCCATCCATATCCTTGAAGTAGTCAACGTTTCTCAGAATGTCAAGGTTTGATGCGATGTGGCCAAAGATTCCACTGGAGGCCACTGGGGTGCCTGTGGTTGTTGGTTTTGCTGGGTTGGTGGTCAAGATAGGAAACTACTTGGACATTCTGCAGGATACTGGATATATATATATACATATATATTATATTGTATGTATGATGTTTGGATTCTCATTCAGGCAATTCTTGAGCCTGATGACCAAAGTTTCCCTGTACTGGAAAAACGTGTTTTTCTTCTCCGGTTGAATGCCAGACACACCTTAAGAATGGTTTGTGTAAAAACTCCTGCAGTAAAACCATGTAGTGTACATATCATCGTACTACTCTGTAGCGTTGGTTCAAAAGAGCTGAGTGCTTAGCGGATTTGTGGTTCACCCCCATTGTAAGTAACATTGGTGGCTGACCTTGTAAAATACAGGTTATCAGCCGTAGTCTCACTACTTTGCTATGGGGACCCCAACCGACCTTCCTCTCGCCGTTCCAGGGTCAGGTCCATCGGCTGTCGCTGTGCCCAATGTGGCCGGGGGCAACCCCGAGCCGATGGATGACGAAACAATGTTCCAACCCGTTGTAGCGTACTTCACCTTCATACAAAACAACCTTCCCAAATCACCAGTGGGAACACCCTGCAAGTCATGAGGGAAGCTGAACAGAGGCACCTTCAGATAATGCATGGAGTAGTTGACGCAATTCGAAACGAATGGTCAAGTAGGCTCGTAATGCAGGAGCAGGAGTATGAGCAAAGGTTGCAGGAGGTTGAAGGTAAGGCCATCAGTGCCGTCAACGAGGAAAGGAAACGAGGCGACGAGTTAGAGGTCAGGTTAAATCAGGCTCAGGCATCGCATGACAAGAGAGTAGAGGATTTCAAGGTAGAGGCAAACACAAAGCATGATCAGAAAATTGCAGAGGAAAGGCAACGTATCACTAGTGAATTCGAAGCTTCCTATGCACAGACCGTTGAACATGCTAAGAATGCCATAGCTGCCACAAAGAAGCAATATGAAGATCAGGCTGCAATTGATCAGGCCAGGCTCATCAGTTTGAGGACCGAGTTCGAGAACTACAAGAAGGAGATGGCCGATAAGATCAACGAGGCAGCGGCTCAGAACCTTAGCCTTCAGGACCAAATCGATGACCTTCAGGAGCAGTTAAAGCATGTTGCCAAAGCGCAGCATGCCTCCGTTCCGAAAGCATCCGTCCAGAACGCCGAGCCGGCCGCTACCACTAGCGTGCCCCACTTCAATATTGCCACTCCCAAAGCATCCGACGCACAGGCTGCCAAAGGCAGTGATGAGCCGATTCATGAGTTGAAAACGCCTGCAGTGTTGGCACAAGAAGCAAAGGCCAAGTTGGATGAGCTGCTCAAAGGTGGCAGTCCCAAGCGAAAGCCGGCTGTCGGCAACGACCAGCCCCAATTGCCAACGCAGTCAGGGTTTTTCACTCCCACTGAAGCTATCAAAACTCCCCCAAATGACTCTCCTAAGAGCGTAACCAAGCAACAGCAAGTGATGGGTCCCTCAGATCTTATTGAATTGGTAAAAGCCTTAACCCAAAGGGAAGAAAAGGATAAGCCAAAAACTAAGGAGGCCGAAATCATCAAGCTGAACAACATGCCCGCTCCGGAGTCGTATAGGACTTGGAAAAATCATGTCAGGGATGAAGTGAAAAGCTGTTCAGATCGCCCGGATGAGGCATGGCTCTGGCTCAATGAGGTGTATGATCAAGAGTGCACCAGAGAGCAGTTGGAGAAGAAACTCCAAGACCCTGGGAAGTTCCTCACGCTGGATACAAAGTTATCAGCAGCGCTCACACGCTCAGCCGGAGGGGACCTCGCAACTAGGATCTTGAATTTCAAAGAGCAGCAATCCCGAAAAGGCATCCAGGTCAGGGGAAGGTATGTTCTGCTCATGTTTGAGGACTACTTCAAGACATCAGAAGAAGCAGGTAGCTTTTACAGAGTAGAAGATCTTTTGGGTGTTGTCAAAGTAGGCGATACTGTCCAGGATCTCCGAAGATTCATCAACAAATGGGATGCTACCCTAGCTGGCATGGCTGTCACCCCCGATGATGCTGTGTTAAGGGACATCTTGTTGAGGCAGATCCGACCAAGTCAGTTGCTGAAATATGACATTGAGATGTTTGACCGTGCTCATGAGAAATCCCATGAAAAGTCTTATAGTTTTCTTCACCAATCCATGAAGAACTTGATCGACCGTGAACGATTAAGGGAGAACAGGAACCGCATCGCGGAGAAGAACAAGGCTGGGATCAAGGACACGAAGGCCGCACCCGCCAAAGGCGATGGTCGCGGTGGCCGAAAGGGCTCCCCAAGTCGTGGTAGATCGCAGGAACGAGGTGGCAAAGGTGACAAGATTTGCTATAAGTTCCAAAAGGGTACCTGTGATAAGGGGAAGAAGTGTCCATTTAAGCATGTCAAGGATGACAAATCTCGAACTCAATCACCCAGAAGAACCAAGACACGTTCACCATCAAGGGGCAACAAAGATGATAAGGGGAAGAAAATGTCCAAGGAAGAAATGGCCAAAACCCCATGTATCTATCATGCCCAGGGAAAGTGCAGACGTGGTGACAAATGTTTTTATAAGCATGATGACAAAGCTGCTGCCGCCACCAAAGACACCAAAAGGGCCAATTCACCCGCTCCCAAGAAGAAGAGCAAGGATTCCACAGCCGCTCCATGCCTGATCCAGAAGTTTGCATGCATCGTCCGAAAACAGCCGAAGGCAACTTCGTGCTCTGATGAGTCAAGTGTCAGCATGAAGCGTCTTAGATTCCGAAAGGCCCCACATGTGATCGAGGTGAAAGCAGTTGGTCATCAAGTCCCAGTCAAGCACCGTCCAAGAGAGTTCACTAAGGTGTATAAGACAGCTGAAGATGTTCCAGTTTCATCCAAGGTTGAACAACATGAGGCTCAGGTTCGTGCAAGACAGCTTCAGGAAACTGTGAAACTTCATGATTCAGATGTCGTACCTAGTTGTGGGTTTTGTTGTTGGAATGAGGATACACGTGACATCACATGCAAAGAGTGCAGGTTCATTAGCGGTCCCAAAGCTCTTAGAGACATTGGTCGTTTCCCGTCAATTGCCACAGCCGCGCCAAAGGCCGGCGTTAGTTGGCTTGTCGACTCAGGTAGTGAATCCGATCTTGTGTCCAAGGGTATGTTGAGGGATGTTAGCGCCAAGAACTGCCGTGCAGCCGAGCATCCGATTTCCTTAGTCACAGCCAACGGTTCGACTGAGGCCAATAAGGTTGCTGACGTCAAGTTGTCCGCATTGCCAGATCCTGTGCATCCGTATGTACTCGATCATACCCCAGCTGTGCTCTCCGTAGGAACGAGATGTGTAGATCAGGGTTACAGTTTCGTATGGCCTGCCAATGGCAAACCAATCCTAGTCCGTCCAGATGACAAGGTCGTCCAGCTCAAGATCGAAGGTCATGTCCCAATCTTGGATGATAGTTGCAAGGTTTATCCCAAAGATCAATTTCAAAAGGATAAGCACCTCAAAAAGTTGTTTGCAATGCCGACCTCACGGTCGAGCTCGAAAGCCAAGCGGGACGAAGCCCAAGATGAAGAGCAATTGGACGAGCTGGTGGAGGATGACGCTCAGCAGGAGTACATCCGAAGCCGCAAGACTGAGGATCTGTTGGCTGAAGCTGCAAGTACCCAACATCAGTACACGCATTTCCCCAAGAACCCCTTTTGCAGAACCTGCCAACGAGCAAGGATGATGGCACCTCAGGCACGAAAGAAAGGTGGTCAGAAGAGAATCGAAACTGAAGTGTTTGGTGACCACGTCATTGGGGATCATGTCATCATCAAGAAAAACGTAGAAGAGGGTTTCAGGGGGGAGCAAGTTGCGTTGGTGTTGAAAGATCTGCACACTCAATATCGGTATGTCTACCCTAGCCAATCCAAGGACTCACAAAGCTGTGTTGATGGTTTGAATCACTTCATTGGATCAAAGGATGATGTTCAAGTTGTGTACACTGACAATTCCCCAGAATTGATCAGGGCCATCAAGGATTTGGGTTACAGACACCAAACTTCCATTGAATATGTAGATTCATCAAAGTCTTTTGCTGAGCGCGAAGTTCGTCAGATGTTGGAAGGTGCCCGGAGCAACTTGTTGCAATCAGGACTTCCTTTGAAGATGTGGCCCTTGGCCATGCAGCATCACGCGACCGCGATCAATGCAAGCCCCCAGCTTGACGGCAGTGAATCCCCATGGCAACTCAGGTTTGGTGAAGAGTTCCCTGCAATGCACATTCCATTTGGTGCCAAAGTGTTGTTCTGGAATAACCCCAAGAGGTTGGATAACACATCAGGTAAGCTCTCCCCAACAGCAAATGAAGGAATTTTCCTTGGGTATTACATCCAACCAGGTCATGATTGGAAGGGTGAATACTTAGTTGCCAAGTTGGAAGCCGCAGATTATCATGTCAACTGGGGTGCACTGACAATCCAAAGAACAAAGAGGTTGGAATTGCCATCCGAGGGTTTCATCTTTCCTTTGAAAGCTCTGATTGACTCGAAAGCACCCAAAGCCGATCGCCTCGAGGACCAGGTCATTCCGAAGACACCCAAAGCTGTGCCTCTTGAGTCCAGTTTGCATCCGCCACAAGATGAGTATGAATACGAGCCAGGAACGCCTCTACCAGCCGACAGCGATGTCGAGCCTGATGCACCCGAAGCGCCCGTATTTCCAGATCTCAAATTGACCCCCAAAGGTGAAATTATTCCAGATGGACATCATTGGGATGGTCACCGGATTGTACGTAACTACAAAGGTTCAAAGCGTCCGGAGGGGATCGACTCAGAACTGTGGAAGATGTTAGGACCCCAAGATAGGAAGTTGATCATCGAGGAAGAAGCAAAGAAAGCAGCCAAAGAGCAGGAGGAAAAGCCAGCATCGTCATCTGGCAGCAAGGGCAAAAAGAAGAAATCTTCACCGGCCCGGCTTGAGGCAACTCAATGCCCTCCTGCAACTGC